TCTAGATTTTAAATTATACAATCAAAGTTAAATTTTTAACTCAAAACCCTAATTTTTGAAAATTATTTTTAAAGAAAAATTTGGCAATAATTCAAATACAAACCTTGCTCCAAAAATTGTGCTAAACAATTTTAGATGATTTACAATCATAACCAAACAAGTTCTACTAACCTAGCAAGCAAGAATCAGAGCAAAACAACTCTAATAAGTGTATGCATCATTTACTTTTCACAAACATGTTTCGTATGTTTCGAAGTAATGTTTCAGTTGTTATATGCAAGATTACGCATGTATGAATAGGATGCTTGATGATGCACGATATGTATGATTAGCAATGCCTAAATGCAGGCATAACACTGGGGTGTTACACCACCTTCCCCACTCCGGCGCCTGCCACCTGTTCGTCGGAATGCCGACGTGGCCACCGTGCATGGACGCCGCGCGCCCCCGCCGTTGCCGCGTGCCCTGCCTCCCTGCCACGCCCCTGCTCATTCAACTGAGCGCCCGAGCTGCCCAGCACTCACTCGCCTCCCCACTCTCCCTCCCTCGCTCTCTGGTGCTGCGCGCGAGCTCCGGGACGCGGCCGCCATGGACGCCGCCGTGAGCTCGAGCTGGGCCGCCGTCGTTCTTCCACCTCCGAGCGCCTGGCAGCCCTACATCCACCGCCACCGGCTCCGCCATCGTCTCCTTGGCCTCGCGCGCCCCTCCTCGGCCTTCCTTCGCCGCCGTAGTGCGTGGCCACCGGTGCCGTGGCCGCCGTGGACGCCTATGCGCGCGGCCAGGTCAACCCCGCCTCCAGCCTAATTGAGCAGCCTAGCATGTGCGCGCGGGACCCCTGGTCCTCCCCGCCACTCCACCGCCGCCGCCGGCCCTTCTCCGGCCGCCACCGGCCGATTCCCCGGTCTCCTCTGTTCTCAACTGCAACCAGGGACCTCGCGCCAGAATTTGATGAAAGAGAGGGGTCTAACTGCGAAGTCTATGACTCAAATGAATAGTGCCTATAAGGACATATTTGCAGTAAATTTGCTGAATCTTTGGAAATTCATAGTAATTCATAGGAAATTCGTAAAATAGCAAATGAGGACTTTTTGGAATCCTTGTGAAATTCTCTATGCATTAGATCTATAATATGGTATGTTTTAGTTCCAATATTTTGCGGTAAAAATAGATTTGTGCAGTAAGGTTGTAATGCTAGTTGAATTTATTATTTTCCATAACTACAGATCTAGGGCTCCAAATGAAGTGAAATTTTTGTGGCATGCTACTCATGTGATAGTTAATGTGTGGTAAAAATTTCATGAGTATTGGATGAAGTATGGGTGAGTTATTGGTTTATCTCTCTCTCACATGATTTCTTGCAATAGCAAATTGTCTTTTTCGTAGAGGCAGCTATACTTATGCAAATGGTATAAAATTTGTACAGTAGACTATTGAGAGGATATGTGAGCTACTGTAATTTTTGTAGAATTTATTGTGCATTTTTTGTATATGTTCATAAATACACCTTGATGTCTAAATAAATTAAGAAATGCTTTAAGAAAATTTATTTAGAGGTGAGCACCAAACTTTTTGGTGTTCTTTAGTCATGTGTGAAATGTTGGTAAAGTTGGTTTTGCCCAATTATGAATTTGCAACATAAGTTAATAATTATTTTCTTGCCGATGTGGTTTATGGACAGATCTAGGAACTTAGCAAAGTTCTTCTTGATAATGTGCTTTGTTATGAAACTTGTTTATACAAAAATTGTAGATAATTTATGTATCTAGCTGCTGTTAAAATTTGGTATCATTTGGCCGAGTAGTGTTTGAGTTACAACTGTTTAAAGTTAGAATACAGGATTTGTTGCTCTCTGTTTTGTATGAACTAGTTTCTGTAAAGGTATAATTTCGACCTACTTAACTTGGGAATCATGCTGTGATGGTTATAGATGAAATGTAGATAATTTCATAAACTTTCCAAAATGTCTTCTTGCAAGTCATTTGGATTTGTGTAACTCCCGTTATAGCTAAATTTTGTAGCTGCTGTTTGCATGTCTAGAAATTGACAGATTCCAATTACAGTGTTTGCTTGTATATTGTTAAGTGTGACTTATGCCTTGAATGATGACTGAGTTAGAGCACCTAAGATCTTAGAAAACTTATGTCATGCTTGGTGTTGTCGTCTTCTTTACCACCTTAGCATGATAGATTGTGTGATGTTTAAGTTAAGCATAGCAAAGTACTTAAGTGTGTTAGTGTAAACTATGCTTGTCTTGCTTGCTATCTTGTGATGCGTCTCATGGTACTATTCTTTATATTTATACACTTGTATATTGCGTCTCATCTAGGTACGCTAGATGCACCACGTGAAGGATGCGATGTTGGAGCCGAACCCGAAGACGGTGTATGGTGGACCTATCCCGAAGGTGGAAGGACTGGACAAGTGCTAGGACGAGAGATGCTCACTTAGCAAGTGTCATCTAACAAACACTAACCTAGTGTTGGATCCCAGGCAAGCCCCGGAGCATATTAAGCCTCTTAATTTCTGAAATGCAATTAAAGTATTATTGTTACATATATATTGTTGCATTAAGTTTAGGTGTTAGATGCAAACACTTGCTGCATTGGTTATCCAATCCTTGTCCAGATATTGATACCCTGAATCCTATGTAGCTTAGGCTCGTGCAGTGCTTAGCCCTGCTTAAATGCAGTAGAAGTCAGATGATTTCCTGTCACGTGCGAGCTATAGGGATATACATATGGCACGGTTGGCTATATTTGCTATCGTGGAAAAGAACCTATCTTAATTTGAATTGAAGACCGGGCGGAGGCTTGTCGGTTTGCAGTGACTCCGTCTGTGTCGCTTAAGGACCGAATCTTGGAGTCTTTCCTGTTCATGTTGAACTCATGCCTCTCTCTTAGTTGACCGGGTCTGGAGACCGACCACGAAGCCGAGTAGCTCACCTCAGGCCGGGAGTCGATAAGTATAAAGTACGCCTCGGAAGGGAGCCGTAGGCGTGAGTCCAAGGGCAGGTGATTTAAAAGTCCTGATCGTCCTGGCAGAAGGGTAATCCCTGAGAGTGCTGGCGCTGATCGAACCCGCGAATTTGGTTCCTGAGTTGTACCAAAGGTGACCCATGGCTACCCTTGCAAAGTATGTCAGGGTGAGAGTTAGGAATACCCCCTCAGCTGAGTTGTAATTCGATTCGAGTCGTCGTCTCTCACCGGTTAGTGAGAACTTGACGGGCTTATCTCCAAAGTAGATACACTAAATAACATAATGGTTCAAGAATGATGGTATGATGATGACAGTCTTATTATACCTGCTATGGTTAAATTGGTTGCTCCTAATAAGTGAGTGCTCTAGTACAGGTGCTAATCTAGTGGACAGGTAAATGATGATAAACTTGATGCTAAGTCTATATTGGTCACTATATTTATAAGCTTTTTTATGCAACTGTGTCAAGCTAGCCCACCTCATAAGCCCTGCATGACCCTTAGTGTCATTTGTTTTGGTTTCCGACGGGTAAGTCTGGCTGAGTACATTCGAGTACTCAGGGTTTATCCCACCATGTTGCAGGTGAAGTTCTCGGACTGTTGAAGATGGTGGCTAATCGCCGATGGGCTCGGTGATTCTATAGTTACTTCTCATCTATATGCTTTTGTCGAATGATGTCACTTATGCTAGCAATGTATTTGGAACATATATTAATGTAATCTTTTGAAAGCTATGTTGTTTTCACTAATCGATTTTGAAACCCAAACTTGTACTATTATTTATGAATTCATTTGTAATATTATTTTCCGCTGCAACCCTGCGTATGTAATATGTATTTGCTTAATCACGCGATCTTGGTTGTGATGTTGATTTACCGAGGTCTTTCGGGACACTCGGCGGACTACCGGGTTTATATAAGTGAAAGTATGTGTGTGTCAACGTGTTAGCGGGGACAGCCGTACTTGATCTTGTATAAATTGGACAGTCCTGTTACACTTCCCATCAATCCACAGCTGCAAAACTTGCATGAGAGTTCATTAGAGCATGTGTATTTCAGCGGTCAATCCAGGTCGTTAAGCATTAGAATCTACTCCTAAAGTTTGGAAAGTCAAATACATATGGTTGAATATATAATAGTTACTACATGGCGCATGCAAAGAAGTAGCTAAATGCTGGTGCCAGCGTTGGAAGCCAGTCCGGAGTACATCGAGTATTCATACAGTGAAGCAGATTTTACTACAACTGCCAGCCTCGTTGCACGGAGTAGCAACTTGCAATTCGCCCCAGGTGGCAGCCCTCGGCAAGTGCTCTCAAATTTTCATTATTGCAGAGTATAGAGCAGTAACAAATAGAATCCTTACATTGTCAATGCTATAACGCAGCTAGTAGTTTTGTATAGCCTCCTCCATGCTAAGCAATTAATCTCTCTGCAATGCACAGATGTAAAGGCCCTTTTTTTGGATTATTTCCAATTCTCACTACATGGTGACAAATCAGCAGTGTAGGGTATCGGGTACCTACAATGGAGGATCTCTTATGAAATGTTTGGTCATCAATACGATGCCATGAGATGCCCTTTTTTCAACAAAATGAGTTCTGCTTGTTTGTGTTCTCCCAAGCGGACGAATTCCGCAGGGCTTGTTCAACAGCACACCCAATTTGAGTGAAATATGTCTTGGCTCGAATAGATTGACAGAAGCAATTCCTGATAGTGGCAGCTCATTACTAAAGCTGCAGGTGCTTGTCCTGAAAAAAAAAAACTCAGAGCTCCATGCCACCTTCTTTGTCTAATATTTCTCAGCTTCAAGCACTATCTGTCGGACGGAACAATCTCTCATGTCCCATTCCTGGAAATGAGAGCTTTCACCCCCTGTTCTGCAAGTGCTGATCCAAAAACCATTTCAACAGACAACAGGTCCATCCCTTTAGGACTTTCTGCATGTTAGAAATTTGACACACTCTAAGTTGACCTGACTGGAATGATCCTAGTTGACTGAGCAACCACACCCTGCTTTTGTTCAACCTCAATGAGAACAATCTACAAGGGGAGATTCCACCAGAATTGGGACAGTTGAGAAACCTCCAGTTTCTAGGCCTGGCAAATAACCAAACAACTGGTGTCATTCAAGAATCCATAGGTAGTCTATCAAACCTTGCCCAAATAAACTTACTTGGAAGCAGATTGACAAGATCAGTGCCGATGTCATTTAGCAACTTGTTGAATCTTCGTTGCATCTTTGTTGATGGGAACCATCTCTTTGGGAATCTAGATTTCCTATCTGCTTCATTGTCCAAATGCAGAAGCCTAACAACCATTGGCATATCAAACAATGCGTTCCCAGGGAGCCAAAGATGCAAAATTAAGACAAAATGCATAGAAAACACAGATTGAGTAATATCAATAAGGCATGGCATTTTAGAGTGTAGTAATTCTAATCCCATAGTTTCAAGGAAAAATATTAGCTCAAAAACTCTCAAGCAGGTCTCCCTTCTGAAGGCTAATTTTTTTTTAAAAGACTAATTTATTGCTAAAGTTCAAGTTATATTTCTGAGACATTCAGTTGGTACATTCACGTTTTGATACAACATTCTATGCTTACATTGTGGGGTTATAAGGGACAGTCACATGCTACTCAAATATTCCCAGCGCCGAGCGTTGCTACAGGCATAAAAATATTCCCAGTTTGTGAAGGACTTATCTATCATGCACTTATTTTGACATTGTTACTAAATTTGACGCTTATTTATTTGAATGTGGTTCGAAACAGTATGTTGCTAAGCCAAGTAAAAATTTATTTGTCTTGATTTCGACCAACTATTTTTTTATACTCTTAGAGCATCTCCAAGAGAAGGCTAATAATACCCCTAAAACTGATATTTGCATGGTTATCATTAAAATCCCGGTCCAACTGTTCCCCAAGCGTTCCCCCAAAATTTGCTCGCTCTGAAAACATGAGGCAGCACCCCGCATATCTGCAAAAGCACAGCACGCCCCCAAATCTTTGTCCCGCGCTCGTCTTCCCTTTGCTCGCGCCATGTTTGGCGCGCTTTTAGCTCCACCTGCCAACGAAGTGGCCTCCCATCTTCTTCCATCCAGGTGCCAAAGGGATGAAGATGGGGCCAGCCAAGGCTGCCGGTTCCCTCCAGGGACGTGTGGGGCATGGCAGCACCCAGATGCGGCAGCCCTTGCCCAGCAGCGTCGAGATGCGGCCGTCCCTGTCCGTCGAAGCGCAGCTGCGGCAACCTGCGGCCGTCGGCGCGCTCATGCGGCCACCCCTTGCCGGCGACGCGCTGATGCGGCCACCCCTTGCCAGCGACGCGCTGATGCGGCCACCTCGACCCGTCGCCACTTTCATGTGGCCGCCGTCCACCGCCACGCAGATGCGGCTAGCACAGTCCACTGGTGGCCATATTCTCCAGGCAAGCAGATGCGGCCACCCCTAAGAATCCCTGCACGTCATTGATGGTCCTCCTCAATCAGTGAGTTCTGTTGGTGACGTGCTGGATTCCCAGCAGATGGTGGACTACGAGGACTCATGTGACAATGTCTCCGCATCCTTTGAAGATATGCCCAACAACGACATGTTTTTTAATGGTATGATGGAAACCACTTTGCATTGCTACAAATGGCTCACTATACTTCCAGTTCATGGTTTCAGTAAATTAGATTCACACATGTATGTCTTGATGTGATTAGTATAGAGTAGACGATGCTCAGATGTGTATTTTATTGTGGATTTCAGGAACGTGTGTGCTACTGAAGATCCTGTCTTATCTGTAGAACATGTGTTTTAGGAAATTTATCTTTGTAACGGGTGATATTCGGATAAGTCTAATGTCTTCTCTGCAAGTGTTTCTGTAGAAAACCCTGAATTTTTCAGTAACTGAATGTGTGTTTGGGTTTCTGTCATATCAGTGGCACTATAATTTGCATAGTTTCTGATACTACATTTCAGTTACTATGCAAATTGTCCCTGTAGTACGATTGCATCTTGTGCAAATTGTCCCTGTAGTACAATTGCCTTTTGTGCTAAAGGAAGATTATAATCTGCAAGTGGTCTGTCATATACCCAATATTACGGAAGATCTTTGTGGTGTCGTAACTATTCGACAAGAGGAGGTGCGCTAGCAGAGAACAGGCAAGGCCACATGCGATGGCGATGAGCACAAGGCTGATGGCGGCGCTGACGAGCACAAGGTTGATGGCGGCGCTAGCATTCTGGAGACCAGCCTGCTCACGTACGTGTGTTGCTTGGAGACATGGAGTCACCGTATATACCAACAGAAAGGAACGAGCGGACGGAAAAGGTCAAGATCCAACTAATCCGATCTCTAATCCAACTAACTAATGACGTGTCACTATTGGGGGCGGAAATATTAGGGAGCTGCTATGGATGAAACTGATTTTGGGGTACAATTGGTTTAAGAGGGCCTCCAATAATAAGTTTTGAGGGTTAACTTTTAAGGGACCTCTTGGAGATGCTCTTACTGCGTTGAAAATTTGAGGCTCCTAACCTACTATTTTTTCCTTACTTTTATTGTGTTGAATTGCATTGAAAATTTAAGGTTCCTGTAGCCACACATGGGCATTTGCTAGTTATTGAAATGTGGAGACCCGAACACAACAATGAGGCAATGTCACATTGACAGGTTCACAGCACTGCCTTCTATTCAGCAATTGCAAACAGGGTCTGGAGTAAGTACCCTACGGGAAATTCTAAAAGTACCACTAATTATCGAATTACAAGGTTCTAACTGAACTCAGCTTGAGGAAGAAACTAATGTGCATATTTTTCTACACCACACCAAACAGCTGGCATGATCTCATAGAGTCAGCTAAATCGCAGGGCAGAAGGCAGCCAGGCACCTCACCTTAGTACCGAAGGGGCCGACGGGAGGATCCATGTCGAACCGCATCTTCCCCTCAAGAAAACGCATCAAAACCCACGGCAAATGCCGCCGGAATCACGTGGAGATTCCGAAACCCAAAGTGACCCCTCACCTGGCTTCGCCTCGGCATGACATCCTCGACCTTGGTGGGCGCCGGCTTGTCGCCTGTGCGGCCAGACCACCGATGCGTCAGAACAAGCCGATCAGCTCAGAGGAGCAAGGAAGTAACTGCTGTGCTGCTGGAGATCTGAGGGCCGGGACAGGACGGGGGCTTACCGGGAGAGGAGAGGAGAGGCGACGTGCGCCGGAACGCGGCCGCCGGCGATGTGGAGAGGGGTGCGGCGCGGGCGGAGGCCGGGGACGACGATGCGGCGGCGCGGCAGAGCGAGGGGGCTAGGGTTTGGAGGCGGTGCGTGGTGGTCTTGGGTCGTGCCCCTCGGGGAGGTAGGGGCCGGTGGAGTGGAGTGGGGCAGTGGAGTTGCAGCAGGCCAGCAGCCAAGGAGGCGGCGAGGCGGCAGAGCGGAGCGCCGGCTTCGGCAGTGCGCTTGGGAGGACGGAGGGACGATTGGGGCGGGGTGCTGAGTGGGGTGTAGCCGTGGGGTCGAGGCCCACATGTCGGCGCAATGGAGTTACGAAGGTGCGCCTGGCGTAGCGGCTTCACCACGGGGAGTGAACGGGTCCTGTTTCATCTTTTTAGGAGTTTAGAAAAGGGCAAAGCCACATAAACGTGGCTTCTCCGACTTTTCTACCTTCTTTTGTGAAGTTGGCTAAGGTCTACTAAATAGGGCCTCAATGTTAACTAATTGTATGAACTTTTATATATTATAAGCACAACATATTTATAAACACAATTTCAAGATGATGTCATGATGGACATATACTTAAATGAAAACCAAAAAGATTTAGTCATCAACAACGAACTATTCACTTGAACTTATCGACTTATCAGCTATGGTACAATGTTTTTCTATCATAACAAAACAACATCAACCAGCTTATGAGCCGTAGAAATCATCAGCCGAACAGCTTTAAGTTCGATAGTTCATATTCATGTGTCGATTAGGAATCTTATATATTTTTTTAACAGACACTTAATTTTCATCGAGCATCGTTTGATAGGGCTTCTCTTTTTAAAACGGTTTTGATTTCTTGGGTTTTTTTTAGGGATCTTATATATTATAGTGTAGCAAGAAGTTATTTCTCTCTCTTTTTTTTAGAGTGAAGGAAGATGAAGATAAAAACTAGCTTTGGCTCTTTTCTGAGTAGCTGCGGTGAGTGGAAACCTAATAACAGGTTGTTTTTATCATTCTTTTTAGCTCTTGTGCTTAGCGTAGAAGAAGCTGGCCGTGCAACTGTCCAATAAAAACTGGTAGCTTCAAGCTAGAGCTCCCGAAGGCCCCTTTGAAATTTACAGCGTTATTCAATTCTTTTACCAGGAATGGAATAAGGAAGAATTGGTTCCGTAGCATCAAAAGATCATAAGAATCGGAAAATACCACTAAAAAAGCTCCGTCACGTGAAATAACATCGAAAGATGTAAGCGTTAACCGAAATTAGCATTCCGTCGTGTCAGTTACTTTTGAGGCTAACGGCCGTCATCGCCACCCGCACGAGCATGCGCTGTGACTCCTTCCTCCTTCGTCCATCTGCTATCCCCACGGCCCACGCATCACCGCGAAAGCGGCAGCGTTTCCCTGCCGCCGCCCGTCACGTCCATAAAGCAACGTCGCCTCACCGCGCCTGCCGCCATCCATCCGCACATCGCGCCGGTGGGGTCACTTTGAGTCGAGGACGCGAAAACGGACTTGCACTTGACACTAGAGTTCGCGGGCGGCGACGCCCGCAGCAGAGGTTGCTCAAGTTGGCGCCGTCCACGCAGCGCCGAGCCGCCCTGGCGCTCACGTTTGGAAATTGTCGGTTCAGCCGCTAGCCTGCTTTTGATGCCGATTGAAGTTGCCGCCGCCCAAGCTCACCAGCCGGAGGCCATGGCGGAAGGCAACATGCCAAAGCCACAGTAGCCCCATCTCCATCGGCCACGCCGTCGTGCTTCAGGATCACGTTGGCTGGTGTGGCGCAAGGAAGGCAGGCGCTGAGCGCGGCCATAGAGTTGCTGCCGCGCTAGCTAGTATGAGTGCACGACCCCGACGGCACTGCAGCTGTGCTGCCAGCCTGCCGCGCCACGCGCAACTTCGACCTCGGCCGCGACACCGCGCACGTGTACTGGCTGCTCCTTCTCCTTGCGCTTCGTTCTTGTCCCTGCCTCCTCCATCAGCGCACCAATGCAAAGCCACCGCGTCGCCGCCATCATGAGCCCATCCGGCGTCTTCGCGTTCGGCTTCCGTACGACCGACTCTTACTCCGGCCCGACGCAGTTCATCCTTGCCACGTGGTTCCTCGACTCCGGTGACCTCCAGCTCCTCGCGGACGACATGTGGATGGCGGTGCGGCACGGTGCTCGTGGGCGTGCGGACGGCGGCGCGGTGAGGCGACACTGCTCACAGCTGGTGAGCATGGGGCAGCAAATGGACGGAGGAGGAAGAAGGGCGCATCACAGCGCATGCTCGTGCGGGTGGAGATGATGGCCGTTACCCCAAAATTGACTGAACGTGATGGAATGCTAATTTCAGTTAACACTTACATCTTTCGATGGTATTTCATGTGACAGAGATTTTTCAGTGGTATTTTGTGATTCTCGTGATCTTTTGACGCTACGGAACCAATTCTCCCGTGGAATAATCACAGCCCCCTCGGCCCCGTCTCCGTCTTAACTACTCGCACTTCCTCACCGGCCACCACATCCCTCGCCCATCCCACTCCTTTCTCCGCCCGCACGCCTCCGGGACGCCCCAGCCATGGCGACCCACGGCGGCGGCCCGCGCCCCTGCCACCTCCTCATCCTCCTCGCCGCCGCCGCGCTCTATTCCGCGTCCTCCCCCGCCGGCGCCTTCTACCTCCCCGGCGTCGCCCCCCGCGACTTCCAGAAGGTGATCAATCGACCTCATTCCCCGGCTTCTCGCCGGCATGTTTCTCCGCTTCCACTCCCCGTCGGATCCAGCGCTAGGTGCTCCCTCGCGGCTGTCGGTGCCCGCGGATCTGGCAGTGCTTGGACGCGCGGCCTCAGATCTGGCTTCCGGGACGCGCGGGGGAGCAGCGGGTAGGCGCGTGGTTTAGGGTTTAGGGATACGAAGTGTCTGGATGGATGGACGACAGCATTGCTGCGTCTGCCTGTTTTCGGCGTGGGAACAAGTGATGCGGCGCGCCTTGCCCCCATTCTATCTTTGATCGCCCGCCTTTTCGTTTGGAAGTACGGGTAACATGTGTTTTTCGTCATGCAGTGAGGACACTAGTGTAAATTTCGCATTTTAGATACCTCGCTGTAGGTCACAGCAATTACACATATTTTTTTATGGTATAAATATGGAGTTTCTGGTATTTTCTTGATATAACTTGCAAGTATTTAGCTCAATCTCTATGATTATTATAGTTAACTAGCAAAGGGAGTTCATCTCTAGCAAACAAGTAGATGTGTTGCTAGGGTTGCTAGCTAAGATACAAAGGATTGGGATATACAAATCCTATAGAATTATGATACACATTGGCCATCATCACAACTAGATGTGTTGTGTCTGTTTGTTAATCACGTTTGGATCTCTTGGTTCAATACCTAAATGCTATTCATTTGAGTTTCAAATGCATATCCCATCATGGCAACAGTTATATGCTGAAAATGCTGCATTTTTGTTGTTGGTTGTTGATGCCTCAAGTAGTCAAGTGTAATAACTATGATATGAGGCAACGGGAACAACTAATACACTGTTGTATAGCTCAATCAACACATGTTATTGTCCTGTATGTTTTTAAATTAGGTATTTGTTTGATTCATTACATGCTGGTTGATTCCTGATATTCATCGATTATTCTACCGTGATGTTTGTCATTTCGTTATAGAAGTGGAGACCCCATGTCGGCTAGATTATAAACAGAATATTAGATATTAATATTCTAGCATTAATTTTGTATGGCCTTTCACTGTGCAGGATGATGAACTTCAAGTGAAAGTCAACAAATTGTCATCTATAAAAACACAGCTTCCATATGACTACTATTTCCTAGATTACTGCAAACCTGATGCGATTAAGAACAGCGCTGAGAACTTAGGTGAAGTCCTTCGTGGGGACCGCATCGAAAATTCTGTCTACAATGTAAGGACATGAAACCCTTTGATTTATACTAGTCCAAGCAAAAACAAGTGGGATTACTTGAAGAAAAAAAAAAGTACTATGGGAAGCTGTCTGATTAACTGTCATTTTGTTTTTCGATTCATGCAGTTCAAGATGAGGAGGGACGAGAGTTGCAAGGTTGTTTGCCGAAGGCATCTTTCTCAAGAAGCTGCAAAGAATTTCAAAGAAAAGATCGATGATGAATACCGAGTAAACATGTATGGTTTTAGTTCGCAGCTCATACCTTATTTCTTTTCTATGTCAGTATTAGAATGTGATCATCAAATCAGCGGAAGATTGAGGATTTGCTCCTCCAATTATGTACACATGATATCTATTGGTCCATTGTCACTTTCATTTACTTGTTCGACTGCCATGCCCATGAGACATTGAATTTAAATTTCAAAAGTGTCCATGAGTTATGTCGCTATGTGTTTGTTATGTTCAGTGCTGTGCCTAACTAAATTTATTTTGTTTCAAAAATTTTTGGGCATGTAGGATCCTAGATAATCTCCCAGTTGTGGTACCTAGGCAGACACGGGAAGGAAGCCAAACACCAAGCTTTGAGCATGGTTACCGAGTTGGTTACAAGGTGAGCATAACAAATTCCTATCTCATAAATTAAACATGAATTGGTTAATACTGGTTACCTTATTTGATTTGAATGAAATATTGCCAGCTCAAAGATGACAAGTATTATATCAACAATCACTTGAGTTTTAAAGTGTTATACCATGAAGACCAAACTTCTCCTGATGCTCGCATTGTTGGCTTCCATGTGATTCCTAGCAGGTATGCCATATTTCATGATCTACAACTTCTCCTTTCATCTGTTTCCAATGTTTTGTTCTCTTACTGCTTACATTTGATTTCCCACTTCCGTCGGCATATGAACTATGGAGTCATCTATATCTGCAACTCCTTTCTGCTGATTTGTTACAGCATCAAGCATGAATATGGTGCCTGGGATGACAATAATCCCACAGCGCAAACTTGCAATGCTAACATTAAGATTACACCTGGTAGTCACACTCCTCAAGAGGTGGCCCCTGATGCATATGTTGTATTCTCTTATGACGTTACTTTTGAGGTATAATTCATTTCATAAGATTCTCTCACTAAGATTCTTGTTCTCCCAATTTTGATTAATCTTGAATTGACCTATTTCAGTCCAGTGATATCATATGGGCATCTCGATGGGATGTATACCTTCTTTCCAGTGATAGCCAAATACACTGGTTCTCAATTGTTAACTCATTGATGATCGTCCTATTCCTTTCTGGTATGGTGGCCATGATCATGATGAGAACCCTTTACAAGGACATAGCAAACTATAATCAGCTTGACAACCAGGATGAGGCTCAGGAAGAAACTGGATGGAAGTTAGTGCATGGTGATGTATTCCGGCCTCCTGTTCACTCAGGCCTCCTTTGTGTTTATGTTGGCACTGGCGTTCAGTTCTTTGGGATGACACTTGTAACCATGATGTTTGCTCTTCTTGGATTCTTATCGCCTGCAAACCGTGGTGGACTCATGACTGCTATGGTCCTTTTGTGGGTGTTCATGGGTTTATTGGCAGGATACACCTCATCTCGCCTGTACAAGATGTTCAAAGGCACTGAATGGAAGAAGATCACCCTCAAAACTGCCTTCATGTTTCCTGGTATTATCTTTTCGGTCTTCTTCTTCCTGAATGCGCTGATCTGGGGTGAGAAGTCATCTGGTGCAGTTCCTTTTGGAACAATGTTTGCATTGTTCCTCCTCTGGTTTGGCATCTCTGTGCCACTGGTCTTTGTTGGAAGTTTCTTGGGATTCAAGCAGCCAGCCATTGAGGACCCAGTGAAGACAAACAAGATTCCCAGGCAAATTCCTGAGCAAGCATGGTACCTGCAGCCAGCTTTTGCAATATTAGCTGGTGGCATATTGCCATTTGGGGCTGTCTTTATTGAGCTCTTCTTCATCCTGACATCTATCTGGCTGAACCAGTTCTACTACATCTTTGGCTTCCTCTTCATAGTCTTTGTCATCCTCATTGTGACGTGTGCTGAGATCACAATTGTGCTATGCTACTTCCAGCTGTGCCGTGAGGATTACCACTGGTGGTGGAGGGCATACCTGACTGCAGGCTCATCAGCACTCTATTTGTTTGCTTATGCTGTCTTCTACTTCTTCAATAAGTTGGAGATCACAAAGCTTGTCTCAGGCATCCTGTACTTTGGTTACATGCTGATCATCTCTTATGCCTTCTTTGTGCTGACTGGTACCATTGGCTTCTATGCCTGCTTCTGGTTCGTGAGGAAGATATATGCTTCTGTGAAGATCGATTGATTAAACAACCACTGTCTAGAGAAACTTATTTTCTGCTTATAGAGTACCTCCTGCCAAGGTTTTGCTGCAATGTCGTGCATGATGCTGCTTGATTGATATATAAAGGAAACTAGGATTCAGGATGGAATTCCATGGTTTTGGTAGGAATATGTGTAGCCTGTTAGGAGCAAGAACTGCTGGAAGTTGAAGTGAGATCTTGATACGCGATGTTGTAATGCACCATGGATTTTGTACGCCTAAAGATATTTAGTGCTGCATTGTAATATGCCTTGATTTACCCTGCTTCTTCCACATTATGCCCTGTGGGTTTTCAATTTAACAACAGGTGGCAATGCTTTCTCATTGTCGTGTCTGGGTTTGATATGATGTTATTATAATGTTTGATGTTTTGGTTATGACACCATGGGAAACCAATGGTTGTTTTTGGTCGTTGCCTGTAATGTGGGAAGCATATTCATGTAGCCTTGTTTGATTGGAGGTGTCACCATACCACCTTCCGATCATGTACAACATTATCGGAGTTATGGTCATATAATGAATCATACCGCTTCTCTCTGAGAAGTTGCACGCCTGCACAAACTTAAGAAAAGCACGATCAAGTTGGTTTGATCTAGGTTCTACGTTTTAGTATTAATGGGAGCTGTGGGAAGAAATGTGGCTAAAAAAGCTGCAAAAACAAAAACTTACCTCACCTTATTTTGACTATAAGCAACTTATAAACTGCATCAAACAAGTTATGTCAGATAATATACAGCCTTAATCCAAATACAATTCTAGATTTAGATTAGATTCAGCCAATCTAACTTAAGTTTTAGAAAATATGATTAACATTTATGATTCTAAATAGGTATTTTATAAAAATATATTTCGTGACTACTCTAGTCATAGTTATTTGGTATTATTAATATTAGTATTCTTTATAGATTTGGTCAAATTTGAAACTGTGTGATTATTCAAAAAATGATATTTGTATAATCTACAATCTGCTATCTACTATCTACTAGATATAAGATCTCCACTGCAATTTTGTATCTGTTTCTAATATGTATACTAAATGGATGCATCTGAATTCATTTTTCATTGTTTTTTTCTATTCGATTCCAGATCTGAATTCGACAATATCTGACAATATCTGTATCAAAAAAAAAAAACCAAAGTATCATGAACCTATTTAAAAGTTTTCTCTCCACAATGGGTGGCCAATTATTTAATCTTATTATTACTAATGATTCATTGAAATCATTTAATAGTATATCACTATATCTAAATAACTTTTAGTATTAATTTAAAATTATTAATGGTATATAAATATTAAACTAATTTTAGCATTTTTCTAATATAGTTTAAACCTAATATGTTTGTTGTCGTAAATTATTTCAATACTTTAGTTTATGTATTTATTGGTGTAAATTATTTTATACAGTTTATAATTTCATGATAAATATTTATATTGATATAATATTGATTGATTAATTGATATATTTAACTATTAAATATTTATTGATAACTACATTGTTTATGAGCTATCATTATCTATGTTATATACACAACTACTTGTGTAATAAATTTTGTATTTTCAAAAATATTGATAAAGCAAATTGGTTATTTGTTTTCTACCACTTTTATTTGAATTTCTTCACTTGACTTATTATTTTATGAAATATTATCCATTATGATTTAGTTTATTTTGATATTGGAGATTATTAGAAGTGCGCTTTTATTTAGTTCAGTTTGGTTAACGATGAACTTAGTAGAAAAAAATTATTCATGTATGTTGAATTTAACAATATGCACTTTGAGTTGAATTGAGTAAATATTTGAATATAAATCTGAATCCAAGACATCCGTTTTGTATTCGTATTTAAAAATGTCCATATCAGTTTCTGTATTTGAATTCAAATGTGATAAAAGGTGATATCCGGATTGCATCCCTACGAGGCAGCCTGGATGCTGCACATTCTGAGAAGCTCGAGGATGAACAGAGCTTGCGCATCTGACGAACATGTTCCTACAGGGAGAGCAAGGTCACGTCCTTATACTCACGTCAGTCGGCGCCGCCCTGACATGGCTGGCCTTCTTGATTATTTTCCAGCATTTAAAACAATGGGGGTTGAAGGATTTTGATGTGAAAACAACGAAGGGCTTTCATGGAATAGTACCACCAAGTTGAAACAAACCAATGCAAACAAGCAAAGCACACATCACTTGTATTTATGTTTGTTTCAGTTTGTAAACTATTTTTAAAACTTGTGTGGATCCTATTCGTTGAAAACAAAATCCTAACTAGTGTCAAGTTTAATTTATTTGTTGTAAACTAGAAGAAAAGTTGGCTCTGTGAGAGTACTAGGGAAACTGAGTTACATCGTCTACCATGTGTAGAGCTGCATACGAACAGTAAGGCAGAGGTGCCGTGTATGGTCAGATGACGTGGAGGATCCGCAGTCCGCACATAAACTGCACTGGCGGTTTGGATCTGCTATATGCACATAGATAATTACGACAATTTACTCTGGGACACTCGTTTTGTCACGGTATGAGACATGACATACTCATTCAACTCGAAATTACAGGCCTTGCAATTTTATTTAATTAGGACAAACCTTTGACCACGGATTATAGACTTATAGTCTACTATATAATTTCTGCAACACAAAAGTTGTTGTCATTTATGGCCCCGTTCGCTGGTCTGAAATTTGGCTGAAAAACACTGTTCTGACTGAATTGTTATGAGAGAAAAACACTGTTGGCTGGTTTGATGAACAGTGCAATGGGAGGGGAACCAGCCGGCTGAACTTTTCAGTTCAGACCAGCGAACTGAGCGTATATATGTAATTTTTTTTGAATAGCAGTACAAATACAGACGCTTATCGAGTATGTCGACAAAAGATGCTCGGCAGTCCTCCGAGGGGTATCCCACGAAGGTAGATTGATCGGCAAATATGCGTGTAATCAAGAACAAGAAGGCAACAGAGACAAAAAAGTTAGACAGATTCAGGCCGTTAGGACGACGTAATACTCTACTCCTGTGGTCTGTTAGTTTGTATTGGCTATCGTATGATATTGCGTGTGTTTTGAGGGGGTTCCTGTCCGCCTAATATAGTCTGGGGGCAGAGTTATAAGTCGGTTAGATTTAGGAGATAACCGGAAAGTAATGATAGATTACAGAAATAATGGGATCGAACGTATCCTACCAGATCTCATAGTATCTTCAGGATATCACCCTTGATGTCTTGCGGTACACGCGAGCAGTGCTGTGCACCGTAGGTCTTCGTCTTATAGGCTGGACCATCCCTGGGAGCGCAACCCATGTAGTCTACCATGGGTATCCGGGGTCGTATCCACCACATCTAGTCCCTGAGCGCCTTGTATCCGCTGTATAACGCCGTCTTGAGCTTGTCCGAGCAGGTGTAAACAAAGCCGAGCAGTCAGACTCATGGTCCAACCACCCTAACGAGTCGCTGAGCAGTTGTGGACCATAATCGACCAGCTTAATTGTCCGACCGGGCACGAGCTTAAGGCTTGCCAGAAGGATGTAAGGAGCTCAAGTTCAAAATCGAAAATTTCTTCGCAGTGAACCAAGTGTGCCCACTTAGAGTCCGACCACGAGAAAGGGAGATAATCTTCTTCAACTTCAGGAGGTACGGAGTCTTCCAGATTAAAGAAAACACACTCACCGTAAGATGAAGTGTGCCCACTTAGTCCTCGAGCCTGACAGTAGGTGAGGTGGTCACGTGGTGCCAGGGTCAAGAAAGTAGAAGAGAGGCAGAAAACCAGCAGAGCAGGCAACCAGTCCACGGGCGGAGCCCTAAAATGAAAAGTGCACATTCACCGTAAGGTGAAGTATGCCCACTTAGTCTCCGAACCTGACAGTAGGTGACGTGGTCACGTGGTGCCAAGGTCAGAAACAACAGTATCCAGAAGAAAGTCTCCAGTGTGGTGAGAAACCAAATCATAATGATTACGTAGTCCCCAAGCCACAAGCGAAAATCTCGGATAAGTCAAGAAGTGTCAATTACTCAAATCATGGAGAAAAAACCGGAGTAATAGCTGTACAGTAGAAACTACTAGGCCTTGATGGTATTGCGGAGAAGTCGACGAATATTCGGTGTGCAGTACCAAGTTGCGTCGAAAAGTGGGCAATGTGGACCGTAGTTGCGCAGAAGCCCAGATAACGGCCCACCACGCCGCTTTGGGGAATTCGGAAGGGCGCAAATTAATATGGCGCGGAGGTGCAATCGGAGGGAAGGGAAGGAGTCCCCGAGCAACAGGCGGAGGGGACACCGACGGCGGGAGCCGTAAGACCTCTAGCCTAGGACACACGGGTTGACCCTAGAGCAGTGCCTAGGTGCTCGGGGAGGCAGCGCCGATTCAGAACTGTCTATCGGGAAGCTGATGTGTAAGTATCTTTGCCTTGGGATCGGTAGCTATCTGATTTTTATAGTTGTGGTGATCGATGAGCTGATCTAATGCAGAACGTAGTACGTAGAGGATCTAAACCCTTCGGGCTAGACTGGCGAGCAGCCGGGGGCTATTCGTGACACGAAGACATTGCGGGCAGACTCCATCCTAGAGTCCCCGGGCGCTCGTCCGTCTACGGAGGAGTCAGCCACCGCTACTGATGGAGTTGGAGGCGGAGAACGGTGGGCGATGACGGCGCGCGAGTCGACAAAGACGGCAGGAGCCACGGCGGGAGCCATCGAGTCTTCAGAGGTGGGAGCAAGAGCTGTCGACGTCATGCCAGAGTCTGGGGCACAGAGGCTGGCAGCATCGGAGGAGCAAGCGGTGCTCCCGGAGATGCCGTGGGGCATGGTCAGTTGCTTCGTGTGGCCACCGAGCCCCCAGGGAGCGCCACCAGCTATGGAGGAAGAGGACGAGGTCAAGGAGACTGAGCATGAAGAATCACGACCTCAAGCCATCCGCATCCTATGCAAGCGAGGTGATGAAGTTGTGGTCGTGGAAGAGGAGAACACCACTAGGGAGGTGAAGAGGCTACGGTCCAC